TTTCTGTGATCTTACAATAAAACATTTGCAGTAGGGTGGAGATCATTAAAAAAAAACTGATTGACCTTGTAATTTAAATAAAATATTTAAATTCCTGATGTATATCAACAAAACTATTTACTTATGTATTAAAAGACACGGAGAATACACTAGAAATGATGCAAATATTCGATGACGAGGTTTAAAGTAATTATTCATTTTAGAGCCCGTGATATAAAATAGTTATTTACCTATCTAGGGTGTTAAGTAGATTTTTGTGCCCGGAGGGCGACTTTCGAACCCGAGGCCTCAGGCCCGAGGGGCTGGAAATCGCCTGAGGGGCAAAAACCATCTAGTAACGGCCATGGTGCATACCCAATTTTATGGTTTATTAGTTCGTTTCTCAATCAATCGAGAATTCGCAACATTTTATAATTTTTATTGCGTTTATAGTGAAAAGATGGCCGACGCCATGAGCCACCAAATCTCCGAGGAAGATTCGGCTGCCATTAAACAATTGCTACTCACATATTGTGTTATGGAACAGCAACGTTTTTAATATTCTTGGTTGCTTAAGAACTGTTGTACTGTTTCGTGTGCTCTACAATGTGTTATTGCAGTATTCGTGAAGACAGTTTTTGTTAAAATACTTAATTTATTGCAGTGTCGGAAAAGAATTTTCCTTTCCTTCTCCTTAAACAGATAGATTACTACTTTTTGGAAAATTATTTTGTGCAGTTTTGGTCACTCGTAATCAACATTTAAGATCTAAAAAATAGAAAATTTTAAAACTTAAAACTTTGTTTCAACCTGAATTATACTACCTCAATTTTTAAGTTAGAGATTTAGTTTTATAAAAACAATTTATTCTTCAATATTATATCATTAAGTTATTTAATTCAGGTACAGTTTTTTTCATTTGAAAACGAAACACAAATATACTTTTTGCTTTACGTTACAAGTTTATTTAATAATTCAAAGTAATTGCAGTCACAAATGCATAATATGAACTCTGATTACGTTTTTCAAAGTATCTAATATTTTCGAACGCAATTTTTTTTTCAAGTTTGTGTAAATAATGAAAGTACTCTGCGTAGTATGCGAAAATAAGTGCATTTAAAACCCCAGAATCTGCAGAGGTTTATATCTCTTTTTGTTAGAACAGCAAAATACAATAAATCAAATTAAAAATTCCATTTTATTTTCATTTTTTCAAAAAATAAAGATTTTTTCGAATGTCCCATGCTCTTTTAAAGAGCTTTCAAGAGATGCTGGAAATGTGGAAAGAATACACGTTGCAATATTACAATAATACAAAACCGAAAACGTCTGACTGTTGTAGACACTAATTACTGTACTTTTCGTAAGGGAAACACACCACCTTCATACGACTTGCCGTAATTTCAATTTTAAAAAATATATTAATTGATTGTAAAGATTTACCGTATCACTTTATAACGCTAATCGAAAATTTGGAAAGCAAAGTAGCCTTGAATTATTTAACTCACGTCTAAACGTAGAATTTTTATACTAAAATCTACTTAAAAGGAGAAAATGAGCTGCGAAATTTCTTCAATAGAGAGACTAAATTGACATAAAATAATTTTTCACACAAATATTTTATTTTATGTGAAAATATTATATTATTTATCTTTAACGTTATTTGAACTTAAGCAATATCTAGTGAAAGGATAACGATACTTGTAGAAATACAAATTTTAAAATTTCAGCAGCTGTATTATTCATATGCTTATGTAAGTAGAAAATTAACTTTTCATTTGAACACTCATGACTAGTGCATTTTTATTGTTAAATAAGAATGAATTAATAATGTCCATTCATCTTATGATACAGCGTGGAGACGGGTAATAGAAAAAATATATAACACAAATCAACTTCAGTGTAAATTTATGTCCAAACTCTTTCGAGTATTCTCGTTTCTGTTTTTGGCTTTTAATGAACTAATAGGCATTTCAGACAGTGAAATAGACATTTTAGGTACAACACAATTTTGTTCCTAGAAATTGTAGATCCATGAAACGTGTTCATGTTAATTTATTGGGAGTGTGTACGTCAAAGACTACTTAACTGCATTCATTTTCAATTATTATTTAAGGTACGCGCAGAAATGCAACAGCGAATAAAGGCATCGGTTTTCCCCCAGGGCAAAGTGGCGGACAGACTTGTGGGCATTGGCTACGAGACACACGAGGTGGAGCGATGCAGCGATGAGCGGAAGTTGTCGAAAGGGCATCAAGTACTTAGTTTATGCATTTGCATGAACGCTCGTCGCTTTCCGAAGCTGATGTCATTAAAATCGGAAGCGAGTTCTCATTTCAAGATTTTACAACTTTGTAAATGGAATTTCATTTATCTAATAAGTACTCAGTGGATATTAATACAGTACCTACAATTGAACTTAATTGACCACAGATGAAATAAGGTATTGAGTAGCTAGCTTAGATAGCTTAGCTAGCTTTTGTTTAGGCCTATCAAAATGAAAAGAGAAGAGTAAATTTGGGACGACTTTTACTGTCGGCATTGAGAAGCATTTCACATTAATCTCAGTAAAACCATGACTAAGAATTTTCAAATATGAATTTAGTTTTCACAAACATTTTTTTAAACTCATCTGAACCTAGCATCACTAATTGGAGAAAGCAGCACTGGTAATTTGATTTGCAATATTGATCTGGCCCGAAGAGTTGGTAATGAAGGAATCAATATACATGGATATATAGATACGTAATACATACTATTTTATATACAGGTTAATATGTCTTCAATAACAAACATAACAAATTACAAGCAAATTTTGTATAAGGCGATGAAGTATAATATTGAAAATATTAGTTTTTTACGGTTAATGACTCATTTGAGTAAAAAAACTAGTACGATGACATAAGAGTAATTTCCCAAGTTCAGTGAACTGGAAAATGCCCAATGAGAAATAATTAAATAGATTTGAAAGGAAAGTAAAAATGAGCCGACTAGAATAATATGCCTTAAATTAGATAAACATTACAGTTGTCACAATATTGACAATAATACAGTTTTATGTTCTACTCTTATTCTACTTCTTCATTCACGTGCATTGCAATCATTAAAGGACACTATCAAAGCAATATAGATAGCATTTTCCGAGAGAAAAACACTTTCCCCATAAAAAAAATGTGAGTGAAGTTTTATTTTTTATTTTTTAAAGCGAGCTTTCGTACGCGTGTCTCGATGACACTTGTTATTGCCAATTCACAGATCTCGTCCCCATTCACGACTTCCGTTCCAGCGTCAACAGCCACACACGAATCGTATTCACCATTGTGGCGCATTTAACTGCTCCACGAGGCGGAAAGGCGCATGAATATCGTCTAATTCACGCCGCTTTTTAGGTGCCGAGCTCCCGCGCGGTGGCCTCAAGCGAGCGTAATTAATAGTGCGGCCCCCGGGGAGGGGAGGGGAGGGGACGGGAGGGCGATTTCACTTTTTAGCCTGCGCCCCTGCTCCGCGAGCGAGGGGTCTTCCCGGAAGGGGGCGCGCGAGGGGGAGGGGGAGGGGGAGGGGGACGCTGCGCTGGAGCCCTTGGTGGGGGACGATGGTCGCGAACAGGTAACGCGGCAGATGCGATGGAAGTCAAGATACCAGTTACTGAAAGCAGTTACGCCGTTTGTGCGTGTCAGAAGAAGCACTGCTGTTATGGAAGACGACAGCGGCATTGATTCTGGAGAAATGTAATGGAAACGGTGGTGATTAATTCCTAATGGCGGGATGGATGGGAAATCATGACTGGCGATACGAACTAAGAATGTGATGAAAATATAGAGGCTTACTTTTTAATACTGTACTTTGGATAAATATTAGAAAAAATAAATTAAAATATTAAAGAAGTTAAAATTAACTAAAACGCAATCCCGGAAGAAAATGTAGAGAGAGGTATTGAGGCAGCAATGACGTCATTTTCCTCTTCTCCGCCCTTCTTGCTCTTGCTGCTGTTGTTTTTAAAAGTCGTTGATAGCAGTTGTGCAAGAAAAGGTGGACAAAGACAGGAAGGGGGGATGTAGATGGGGGCATGGTGTCATGGCTGAGAGCAGTAGGCTTGGAGTTGACGTTTACGAATAGTATTGCATATCTTGGATGTGGATGTTACTTTGGCGAAGGGGTCCTTCAAGTACCGAGGCCGTGGTGACGCATGAGTGATACGAAAAGATGATAGCAAGATTGAAAAGAAGTTGCATAAGGGAGAAATGAGAATGTGAGGCAGGGAAACACGAGATGCCCGAGGAAACTTTTTCCCAAAAGGTCAAATCGTACACCACAAATTCCGCTCCAGCAGAACCCGCAGCCCAGCGCTGGAAGCAACAGTGCGGCCAGAAGGGGGGGGGGCAGGTGGGGCCAATGGCCGAACTTTTTTCATTCAAAAGAAACAAAAAATATATTTACTTCTAATCCAAATTTAGAGCAACACGTTATTTCTGATACATGGAGAAATTAATTTTGTTTATGAACCGGGGAGGACGAATTTTGTTTTAATTAGGGGCCCCCTTGGACCAACTGGGCGCCCCGGGGAAGCGGTGTGCTCTAGCCACAGCCACGAGACCCCGCCCCCTCCGCAGAGCGGCGGACCAGGCAACGGAGTCGCCAAGATCACCGGCCCGGGCCCGCGAGGGGCGCAGGCAGAGATTGCTGCACGCGACGGGCAGGCGCCAGGCCACGCTGCCCCTGCCGGCTGCAGCCCGCCACGCCCGTCTACCTGGCGGGCGGCCGCCGGGGATTGCTTGGGAGGGGCGGGCACCTCCGCGGAGACTTCAAAGAAGTCTGCCCCGCGCCAGCCAAGAAGCACACTAGGGCGACCCCGACTTGTTATTGATATGTGCTCTCCCTTTTTTTGCTGATTGGAAGGCAAACATGATCAGAGACGAGTGCCGAAGCCAGATTCTCTGAAGGCAAAGGAAAGAGGGATGCAGGAAAGAGGGGTGGCATTATAAATATTATTACGGGCAGGTAAAAGGTCACGAGAGGAAAGCGGAGAAAGTCATTGATAAAAAAAACGAGATTTATTTTATTAAGTAACACGATTTTATTTGTCTGTTATCACATATACTTTTGTACATTTACTTATATACATCTTCATATCTTACATCTCCCACGCGTCATAAGTTATCAGTCATTTGTTGAGCATGTTTCATATATATTATTTACTCATTTACATATAAGTTCTCCCGTAATATAAAATAGCTTTGCTACTTGTTATAAAATCCCTCATCTACTCACTATTGTTTATTACTATAATTCACTTTTAATTATTAAAGTAGGCACATATTGACATATAAAACTATAATAAATAGAAAGTACACAAGACAGATGGGTGAAGTTATTTAAACAATTAAAAATGAAGTTTAATAAAATTAATTAGAAGATGTGTTTTTATCCGTGTTATTATTCGAAATTGAAAATATGAAAAATGTTTTAAAACATTGCAATAAACTACACTAAGATAAATATTAAAAAAGGGTATTTATTTCTAATTTAATATTTTTTCTGGTCTAAATGAGTAATAGTTATTCTTGGACATGTAGCTGACAAAAACTACCAAAGCAACTCTACGTGTATTATTTCACAGCCAAATGGAATAACCTCCACATTAAGAAAGCTTCAAAACTGAGCATTTCAGTTTCATCATTTTAGCACTACAGCTAGCATTACTGAAACAAAGTTTAGTTTTGGTCAATCGTCAGAGTTGATCACGTTTATAAAAAAAGTACTCAGAGAGTTTTACTCGTACAATGCATGACTAGACGTAGAAACTCAAAGCAGATTGAATTGACATCGTAGCAAGTGGAACGACAGCCCAAATCCTGAGCGGTGAAGGCCAGTTCAAGAGCCGAGGCTGGAGCGAGCCATGGCGGCGCTGGGCACTTGAGGTAGATAAGGCACGTGGCGGGCGCGCGGGCGGCACCGCTCAGGCACAGCTCAGGCGCTCGCCTTGCGCTCGGCCGCCTCGTTGAGGCGGTTCTGCAGGTCCTCCAGGTCCGCGACGTCGTCCAGCGGCGACGGCGCGCCCTTGCCCTGCGCCGCGGGCAGCGCCCGGGGAGCGCGGTGCCGCCTGGCGGGCGTCGCCAGCGACCGCAGCACCTGCCGCACACGAGAGCGCACAGCTGTTACCCTTTCGCGATCGATACGCCGCCGCGCGGCTTCGGCCGTGGGTTTTGGATGGGGTATGGCGCATCCCGACTCTTTGCAACATTTCGCTTCTTACACGACGGAAATGCTTGTTAACTGGGCATCGACATTACCAACTCCCACGCGTACTAAAAAGCGAATTGTTTCAAATGTCCTGGCAAGCAAACAGAGGAAACGTCGGATCAATTGAGGTGAGAAAACAATGGACTGTAAAGCATGAGATAATGAAATCAGCAGAACGATATTGATAAACAGAAGAATTTATGTTTAAGCTTCATTATCTTACAGAGCAGGTGCTCGTTCGTGAGTGGGTGGGTGGTGGGGGCAGGAGAACGACCGGCAGTGACAGGTGCACCAACTCACCTTGAGACAGGTCTTGCCGGTGCGCAGCACGAGGCGTCGAACGGGCGAGGGCGTCATCGCAGCGCAGCACAGCTGGGCGGAGCGGCGGGCGACCGGGGAGCGAGTGATGCGGGGCGCCCCGAGCGCACCCCCCTTATATAGGCTGCCCCACGCAGGGGGTGGGCGAGCGCGAGTGGGGCGGGGCGCGGGGCGCTGGCCGCCTGCGCTGACAGCTGGCGCGGGGTCCGCGCGCCCCGCTCCAGCGCGCGTGTGGGAAACTGGGGCGGGCACGCGTTCTCACACGCCGCCGCCAGCCCAGCGCCCCAATCTCCCCCCGGGCGCGCTTCTTCGACCCGGCGGTCAGCCCACTTCCCACCTGGCCCCCCTCTCTCTCCCGGGCAGGGGACGTCAGACAATGGACTCGGCGAGAGGCAGGAAGAGGCTCGGGCCTGCACCTTGGCGGAATTGTGATGTCAATTCTTGCACGAAAACTTTTCCCGACTTTGAAAACACGAGGGGCGCAAAGACAACCGGCGGGGGCCCAGGACACCGACGGAAACCTCAGAAAGCGAGGCGGGCGACCACGCTCAAGCCAAAGCACGACGCTAAACTTCAATGGCGCAGTACGAACCGTCCCGGGGCATCGGGAGTTACAGCAGCGAGAAATTGAGATGAAACTAGGTGAAGACAGACCCAAGAACGAACGCTAGACGCGAGCGGAAAGAGACGCAGAGAACCGAGAGGAGGAGGGAACCAGGAGGAGAAAGGGAGACGGGGACGGATAGAGGCGAGAGGAGGCGGAAGAGACGGAGAGGGAGGACCAGAGGGAGGGAGAGGGGAGAAAGACGGGGGAAGAGGGGAGGGGAGAGCAACGATGGGGGAAAGGAGAGGGAAAGGGAGAGAGCGGGGACGGAGGAGAGCCGAGGGGGAGAGCCGAGACGAGGGGGAGAGGGGGAGAGAGGGAGAGGGAGAAGAGGGGGAGAGAGGCAGAGCGGAGAAGAGGGGGGAAGGGAGAGAGGGAGAGAGGGAGAGAAGGTGGGGAGAGGGACGAGAGAGGGCGAGGGAGAAGAGGGAGGAAGAGGGAGAGGGGAGAAGACGGGGAAGGAGCGAGAGGGAGAGGAGGAGGAGGCGGGGAGGAGGGGGAGAAGGAAGAGAGAAAGGGGGAGGGGGAGAGGCGGGGGAAGGGGAGAAGGAGAGGAAGGGGAGAGAAGGGGGAGGGAAAGAGGGAGGAGGAGAGGGGGAGAAAGAGGAAAGACGCGTTGAGACGTTGGAAATATAAGGGGTAAACTTCACAAATAGAAAAAAATGCTTAAGCGAGAGTAAATTTTCAAATGAACAGAAAAGTGAGATCGGAACTGTGAAGATAACTTTTGGGAAGGAAGGTGCAGCAGGTGCGGTAGGGGAGTGAAATGAGCGCGGGTATGCTAGCGTGACCCAGAGGTGGTGAACTCTGATGCGAAACTACACATAACGGTCGGAGCGAGAGAGAATGCGTTGTCAGATGCTACCAATGCACATACATCAAGGATGGGGTCATCAACAGGTAGTAAACGGCAACAATAAAAAAGATATGAAAAAGGGCAATGGTGTCAGGAGATGAGGAGAGAAGTATTTGTTAACTTCACAAAACAATCTGGACGTCACGCAAAACAATGTTTCTCAGTAAAACTCAATGAAAAATTCCGAATTACCTATTTTTTACAAAGGAGGACGAGAAAACGGTTAATTCGCCGCACGGCAAAGACAAATAAGTATGAATTTTGAACAGAGTAGCGGATACCGATAGCTAGAATATTAGAGATATCGCTGTATGGATTCTGAGACGAAGATAGTGGAAAGGAGTACAATAAAAAACGAAACAAAATGTTAACAGTATCGCTTTAACTCGAAACAACACCGAGTCACATTTCATATAGTTGTAATAATGTGTCCAAAATGAATTCATCATTAAAATGATTGCAAATGTGCAGATAAACTGGTCTGCAATTTTCTATATTAAGAAACAAACGTTCATTGATGTTTACGCACTATAAACTGGTTATTTATAATGTGCAATCGTGATGCAGGTCCATTCTTCCACAATTATTATTTGCAGCTCGTCGAAGGGCTTTCCTCGGAACACCCAGTGTATTGCAAAGGCACGCACAGGCGTTCCCAGCTTTGGATTAATGTCACGGCGGCATGTCCTGTTGGACCCGCGGGCGGAAAGTGCGGGAGAGATGAGCGTCGGCGCAGGCCGTCGCCCGCCTTCTTCCGCCGCGCGCTCGCGCCCCGCGCCGGCGGGAGGGGGTAAGGAAGGGGGAGGGGTGGGGAGGGGAGGGGAGAGGCAGCGCTGCGACGCGTGCCGCGCCACGCGCCTTCAGCCCAGAAGAACTCTCTCGGCGACGCCCCGCCGCCGCCACCAAGAGCCTCGACCCTGGCCGAGACGCTTCTCCTCTCGTCCTCTCAGTGCATTTCCCTTTCTCAGACCTCGTCGTCTCGCCTTTCTTCTCCTCCTTTCTTTCCTTCCTCAACGCTCCAGCCTCGGGTAACTTTCCTCGCGCGATATAACTAGCCTTGTCCTCCATCGCCGCTGCCAGCCTCAGCCTTGACCGAGATGCATCACCTCTCCTTTTCTACTCTTTTTCTGCCGCTCCCTTCAGTCCTCTTCTTCCATCCCTCGTTCTCACCACAATTTGTCTCATTTCTTCGCCCCTCTTCCTTGCACCACACTCCTCGTTTCTCTCCCTTCTCCACTCCTCGCACGAGATAAGTGGCCTTGCCGCCGCCGCCTCCGCTGCCAGCCTCGACCCTGACCGCGAGGCTTCGCCTTTTGTCCTCTTCTCCTCGCGTCCTCTCAGCTCCCTTCCTCCTCTCCTCCGTCCTTTGCCGTCGGCTGGAAGGCTCGCGTAGCGCTCGAGGCGACGCACCCGCGCGGGAGGGAGCCGCTCCGCTTCCGCTCCCGGTCGCGACGTCCCCACTTTGTGCGCGGTTCAAGCCACCACAAAAATAATTTGTGTTTGGAAAAATAATTTTCATTGCTATTACAAATGCAAGACATAAGACACTGCGTTTATCTCTCTCGCAAACTTATGTTAATGAGTGTAAAAAATTAGGTACACGTCCTAAAATAAGAATTTGTTTACTTAAACTCATATTATTTCTCATAATTCTGAAGTTGTTTCAATCCTGAAAACTCTGTTGGTTTTCCAACTATATTATTACATCGTACATTCGAAAAATTCGGACGTGAAGGAAATCCAGAATTGTTAATGTTTATTGCTCAAATCCTGCAATACTTTTAGAATACACGTATTGGAAGTAAAAAGGGTTAAATTTGATTGAAAATTTATACGCGTCTTATTACAAAAGTAGTAGAATCAATGTCACGATGATCGTAGCAAAATTTGTTCAATTATCCACCATTTATGGACAAAACTAACTGAAATGATTTAACAATATGCAAACTTTTCGAGCAATTGCACACCCGCATTGTAAGTTTTCTTTTTTGCGCGAGCGTCAACGAAATGCTGCGAATTTTTGTTGACGTTGGATAACCCCTGCCAAAAACAAATATTTTTAATCGGCCAAATGTCAGAAATGCCATATAGGTTTCTTTTTTCATTGTTTCTTCAATGGTTATCACTGTAGTCGTGTTACAAAGATAATTATAAAATCTTTATTTCTGCTCTCTACAATGTATTTGTAATAAATTAGGCCAAATACGTATTTCCCCAGGTTATTGATACTGTAAAAAATGTGACAATGATATATGATAATCCTGTGCTATTTTTATTTATAAAAATTGTTTCTAATTATATCTTTAAAATATTGTTTGTCTTGCGAATATATTGAAAAAGAAAAAAAGAAAATTTATCACCGGGTGAAAAAAAATGTTTTTCGGAATATTATAATTATTAATTATGCAAAATGTAAACAAAAATTCCGCAACAGGAATTTGTTTTTCAGACATTCAAATCATATAATCGTCTTTTGGGTGCTAAAGATGTGTACGTTGATATCGTTGAAGCACGATGTAATGTTAATGCTTTTAATGATCATGAGATATTGAGAAATGATAAAGAAGCCTACTAGTCCAAAGAGTTAGGAATTTGATACACCACACCTCCCCATGAAACCCGTAACTGCAGCAGTTACACAGTGAAATGGTAGGATGAACTTCTTCCCTTGACACCATACCCTTGCAGACCAGTCATGCCAACTTGTGCCTAACCATATTTCAGACCCCTCAAAACGACCAACTATGAAGAACAGGTTCTAAAGACGTGTTGAAGACCGTGCACAAAAGGCAATAAATCCATGCACACGACTTTTGGGATGAAGATATATTGAATCTACCAGCAGTATAGCAAACTGTGTGGATAATGGACAAAGCTAAGTAGAAAAGTATTCCTGGTGCGTGTGAGTGTTTTATCTTCTACAATTTATTAAGATATCCAAAAAGTCTCGTTTATCATTCCATGTAAATTGAAAACTTCAATTCAAGATTGGCAGTTAGCTATTGGCCTATTGTAGCAAAAATGCTACTAAACAAAGAAACATGTGAAAACATAAAGGAGCACAAAGACTGGTCAAGAACAACAAATAAAATACTCTCGTATAGCACTACAATACATAACAAAAACGCTGTTGGGAAGTTTTTACTTCTAACTCCCTGCTTCTTCAGTCCTGTAATATTCTGTTCCTTGCTGGAATAGATGTGGTGATAAGTTCCGGAAACAACCAGCAGATTTTGAAAAATATTCGAACAGAATATGCAAACAGGAAATACTATTCACCTTCCCGCTTACAAAACGCAACAACTATTGTAAGTGAAATTCGTCCGCACTTTGTAAAGATAGATTATTAAATTGTAATTTATGTAGCATTTCAATTCGATTTACTTAACAAATGATAGTACTTTATTTTGCCTTTTGTTTTTAAGGAGTGTTTTACTGCAGCTTTTGAATTTTGAACTAATAGTGTTATTTCACTGGAGTGTGTGAGTAAGTATTTCCCATAATGCTCAATACAAGAAACATGAATTAATGTTGGTTATTTCTTTATGAATGAAATCGAGAAAGGAAACATCAAACAAAAAAGAAAATTCTCAGACAAAAGATTTTCGTTCTACAGTAATACAAAGAATAATAAACAACGTAAAATAGTCTATGTATGTGCTAG